CAAGAAAAGCTTTCGGCAGACTTGGTGCTGGAGCATGATCCTGAGGCAGAGGTGGGAATCCTGCCTGCCAGTGTGAGTGGGGAGGAGGTATGCAAAGACACAGTGGATAGGAGGGTTTAAGCTTCAAGGAACAGCTTTGAGGTTGCCCTTCTTATTCCAGGCAAATATCATTATTCCAATCTAGTAACTACTGAAAAACATCTTCCTTGGAGGACCAGCAGAGGGCATAGTGGGTACATCACTGAGCTCCCACATGGCTAACCACAGTTCAAGTCCCAGATCCGGTGGCCTGAAATTCACTCCAGGTGCATGTGCATGTGTGTATGTGCCCAAAATCCCAAGAGGAGACTGGAGGAGAAGGGATTGCAGTGTGGCCATCCCCCCAGGGGGTGATTTCTTGCTTTCTCTCTCTCTGGTGAGAGCATGTGCCCTATAGCGAAAATCTCTCTTAAAAAAGAAAGAAAGAAAGAAAAAAGAAAAGAAAAATGAAACTCTTCCTCAGCTAGCCTTTCCTTCTGTACCTGTGTTCTCACCATGCAGACAGTGATCACAGGTGTGATTTGACAGTTTCAGAAACACGGCCTGGTTTCCAGGGAATTCTGATGAAAACACAGCGGTGGAACTGTTGTCTTCAACAGAAGAGAAACTCTCTATTATCTTTTGGAAGTTTGAAACCAAATGGATAGAAATCTTTCTCTCAGCTTTCTCAACATCACCGCACAAAACTCCTACTCAGTCATGCCTTAACAGTAAAGGGAGCCCCTGCCCAGAAGACTGGTTTATGGAGCACCTTTACACAGACTGTCAGACACATGGTCTTGATTTTGTGAGGACACCTGGAGAGTCATGACTAGAAGTGACTTGTAGGTTCTATACAGAGTGAGTACAAGTGTGAGGACTCTGGGAGGACCACAGGGACACTTGGCCAAGGCACCAAGGGCCAACTTCCCAGGACCCACACTTCAGCTAAACTTCATTCCGAAAGCATTATCAGTAGTATTGACTGGCAGAGTTCTATTTATTGAGCACTTAACATGCTAAGAACTTGGCGTGCACTGAGTCATTAACTGCTGACAGCAACTCATTGAGGAAGCTGTGTTCAGAACAATTCACCTGTTGAGAGAAACTGGAAGGCCAGTAGGTGCTATGCTATTAATAGCATACTAGTAATAGTATATACTGTTAGTGTTGTACTAATAATAGTTTCTATCCTGGGTGGGTCTAACTCATACTTACACACCTAACTATTTAATTTCACGTAGTTTTAATCTCCCTAATACTGAGATGTTGCTAACCCACATAAAGTATGCATGAGATGAAGACTTTCTGTTCTCACCTCACAAGAGCCTTTTTATTTTGGAGACTTTACAAAGGTCTCTGGACAAAGCCCCTGGAGGGTTGTCAGTTTACTAAGATGCTCTTTGATGGTTCATGGTCTTTGGACTCAGCACTTCCCCTGCCTCACAGTGAAGTGGTAGTGACAGCTAAGAACTTGGCGTGCACTGAGTCATTAACTGCTGACAGCAACTCATTGAGGAAGCTGTGTTCAGAACAATTCACCTGTTGAGAGAAACTGGAAGGCCAGTAGGTGCTATGCTATTAATAGCATACTAGTAATAGTATATACTGTTAGTGTTGTACTAATAATAGTTTCTATCCTGGGTGGGTCTAACTCATACTTACACACCTAACTATTTAATTTCACGTAGTTTTAATCTCCCTAATACTGAGATGTTGCTAACCCACATAAAGTATGCATGAGATGAAGACTTTCTGTTCTCACCTCACAAGAGCCTTTTTATTTTGGAGACTTTACAAAGGTCTCTGGACAAAGCCCCTGGAGGGTTGTCAGTTTACTAAGATGCTCTTTGATGGTTCATGGTCTTTGGACTCAGCACTTCCCCTGCCTCACAGTGAAGTGGTAGTGACAACAGTTTTTTTTGGGTTTTTTTTTTTTTCTTTTTCCAAAAAAATCGAGCATACATCCCCATAGTGTGATGAGATGCTTTCTAGAGTCTGGCATTTCTGCCTATGATAATCCTGAAGTTTCTAGGTAGGGCTAAGGAATCCTTAACAAGAGACACAAATAAGGAATGAAAAGGCCTGCCATATGATCCTTAAGGCCCAAGTCTTGGAAGGTCCACACTACATTCTATCAGGTTAATGGATTTTGTCTGAGTGTCGTGATCTTGGAAGATGGGAAAACTGCAGTCCTACATTGTTACTGCACGGATGTACATCATTTGCAGTGGTCTATGCTTGAGTCTGACCCTCATAGCTGGAAAACAAAAAGTCAATAACTTGTATTTGACTGATGTGTATAATAATAGTTTCTGGGGTCTAACCTGCATGATTCAGCATGTTTTTAGGCTTTATTTTCTCTTCTTGGAAACAAGATTATTATTAGTGGTAGAAGACCATGCACTTTTAGGGTCAGGAGCCCCCAACATCTAAATTAAAATCCCTATTTTAGTATACTTTGATGAAGTCAGAATCACCCTTCTTTGTTTTGAAGACAGATTCCTAAAATGAGTTCTATATGCCCTTCCTTCCATGTTTTCACAGTTGTCTATACTCAAAACAAGTTATGGCTCCACATCGGCTCAGTTCATTTTAAGTGTTCAATGTTGTAAACAACAAAACAATGCATTTTTCTCATCAATGCAATGGTTTCTACAATAACATTGATTCTGGGGTAGACGCGGTTTCTGAGAGTAGGCTTATCGAAAACTGTGGTATTTGAAGAAGTTGACTAGGTTGTCTAAAAGCCTTAGTCAATATTTCAGACAGCCTGGAGACATTCTCTAGAGTAAAAGCACTGTCACTGGGGAAGAAATGGCCACTTGCCCAGCAGGGACCACCTCTAATTCTGTGCTGAATGGAGGAACTTGACTGCTGCAAGGATGACTAAACCATTCAATGATGATAATCATCATTTACTCTAAAAAAGAATAAAATTGGATCCAATTGAATTGATGCTGGAGAACTCAAAGATGGCACTTTGTTTGGAGGCAAATATTCAGGACCATTCTGCACACGTTCCAGGCCTTCTAGTCTCAAGTAGGTTAGAGGGAACTGGGAGGGGCAGAGACTCCAGCAGAGCATGTTAACGGGGAGTGCCTTTGTGCGGGTGTATTTTCGTTCTTGCTGTCCCTGTGTGAACCCAGAGCTGCAGCCTTTGTCACGGGAAGATGCTCTATGTTGTGTTGCAAATCTGCCTAGGAGGGCAGCTGGCTCACAGCTCGTTTCTCCCAGCACATCTCTTGTTTCCTGGGAAGGCAGTGATGGAGTTGCCGGTGTGTCCTGACTCTGCTCACCGTCTCTTTGCTCCCACAGAATCTGTACCAGAACAGGTTTTTAGGCCTGGCCGCCATGGCATCTCCATCTAGAAACTCCCAGAGCCGACGCCGTTGCAAGGAGCCACTCCGCTACAGCTACAACCCTGATCAGTTCCACAACATGGACGTCAGGAACGGCCCTCACGACGGCGTGACCATTCCCCGCTCCACTAGTGACACGGACCTGGTCACCTCAGACAGCCGCTCCACGCTCATGGTCAGCAGCTCCTACTACTCCATAGGGCACTCGCAAGATCTGGTGATCCACTGGGACATAAAGGAGGAAGTGGACGCAGGAGACTGGATTGGCATGTACCTCATCGGTGAGTAGAATATCAACCCTCCCCAGCTGTGCCACTGACATACCCAGTGCGCCACCAACATCATTGTCTTATACATGGGATCTGGTTGTCCAACAAGGATATTATTCATAACTTGCTTTTATAATGCTTTGATGTTTTAACAAATTCTATATATTTAGTTAGACATAAACAATTAAAATGTGCAATTGATCATGCTGTACACTAGATTCTAACACAACAAAGACCCATGTGCCTTAGCTTCCTTTCATGCAGACTGCACAATAAGGCCTCTCTTGGAACTCTATTCAGCCAAGAACATCATGATATAGTGAGGTGAGCTGTGATTAAGCACAAACGTCATTACCATTTGTGACTACAGAGGCTCTTTTACTTAGGCATAAGTGAATATCAAAAGCGTGATTTTAAATCCACTTGTTTATAAAACCAAAGTAACGCCATCCACCAACCTTTGTATGCAGTTGCGTGAAGGTCATTTCACTTGTATCTGCAGCAGCATCTCTTCACCAGCTCTTTTAACACACTTACTGACTGGTGTTCCAAAGCCATGATGGGATTATACATGCGACTGTGATGTTGGAGAAAATTGACTTGCTTTACTTTAGATAAAGCGTCATTCAAAATTATGAACATCCCAAAGCTGAAGGTTTAGTAGATCTTTCTATGTGAACTTTCCCAAGTCTACAAACAAACCGAATTATGCAATGCTCTATTTACACATTTAGGTACACGACACTAGAGTTAACACCATCAGCCACAGGAAGCAATGGTTGTTTTCAGTTGTTTACAACTCAGGCTGTTTCTCTGATAAAATAAAGGGGAGGGGCCAGACGGTCGTGCAGTGGCAACACAACTACACTCACATGGGAAGGTCCTGGGTTGTGCCCACAGGTGCATGTGTGCATGTCCATGACCTGGACTGCTTGAAGCCGGGGGGTGGATGATGATGTGAAGATTATTTTGGGAGTGCCTGTTTCTCTCTCCCCACTACCTTCACCTGGGAAGGAATAAACTTTTCAAAATATAAATAAAGGAGTATTATATAACTAACTTGCTGTCAAGGAAATATTTTTGGCCCCTCTAGAAGGTTTGCCATTAACTTGATTAATGTATTTACAATACACACATTATTGGAAAGAAGAAGAAACGTAATTTTTGAAATTTTATTCAAATAGTAATTACTAACTAAAGTGGACTTCCAGCTAAATTTTTAATTTGTTTAAAACTATTTCTTGAATGAAAGTAAATACCATTCCTTCTAGGACACAGATAGCAAGATAGTAGCCCACCAAGCATACTTTAATTCACATTGTTCTGTTTTAAATTTAATTCATTGTTAACATTTTTAAAATGTAGATGTTTCATGTTGAAGCCTAAGTTTTGAGCTTCTTTCACAAAAGACCATATTGGCAAACCGAGCCTGTGATTTATTGGGCTCTGGTTAGCTGGAGTTAAGCATCTGCTGCGCCCTTTAGACTGGCCCCAATCTTCAGTTTTGTCTCCGTCCCCCTCTCACCCACTCTCGTTTTAATTATGAATGCTACTTGTTTAGCACTTGAGGCAATTCGTCTTCTGGCCCCAGATCTAGTTATGAATCAACTCTTTACCTTCCCATGGCTGGTCAGTGTTGGTGCCATTTCCTGAGTTAGGGAACAAATGGAAGGGCAGGGTGTTTGGGGAGAAGGAAATGATTTCAGTGTGGACACCACAGGGACATTCACCCATGGTGAACAGATGGGCAGACCTGAAGCCCAACATAAGACTGTAGATTGGGGTCACTGAGCCCTGGGGTGTTACTCATGGACTGTGTAAAGAAAGAAAGCACCAGAAAGTCATCGACAGAGATAGGGGCAGAGGAGGAACTCAAAAAGAAGATGGAGCAGGTGGTGAGGAGGTAGGCAGGCTAGGCACTGCATCATGAAGACAAGAGAGTGCTGGAAGAAGGAGGGGGTGGTCAGCGTTACCACGCACCATGGAACTCTGTGAATGAATAAGATCTGGTGTTAACATGACATTTTGACTGAGACAAAAGCAACTGCAGCACATCGTTTTAGAATCTTAATTGACAGTTTGTTATTCTCGTAGTAGCTACACATATATAACTGTGAAGCGATTTAATGCAAAATGCCGATGCGTCCAATGGCATAGTGTTTCCAAAATAATTTCCAAATCCAAAATTATCTGTGAATCTTAAAAACTCGCAATTTGTTAAGTCCTTAGCAACTTATCTTCCAGATTTATAGAGCCTTGCCAAAGATCAAATTGCGGATCTAGGCATAGAAATTTAGAGGGGGCGATCTTTACTAATCTGTCATTTCACAAACAAGGAAATGCCAGTTCAGTGGCTCTCATAGCCACACGGCTGCCTCCCCTGGTGGCAGACTTATGGCGACCATGGGACCATGTGGGTATTCTGGTGCCCTCCACATCACGGGCTGTCTGGACATCCAAGTGAGCCTAGGTTTGTAATACATCAGAGTCCCATGTCCTCGAAGCTCTCTAGGCAAACATGGCTTTCTTCTGCCATAAAGGATGAAGAAATCTAGATGTGGAAGGTGCTTTTGTGCTCACCAAGTCACTGCCGCTGTTATCAGCCAGGGCCACAGGAACCCGGCAGTGGGACAATGACATTCGTGTTACTGTTATTACGAAGTGAAAGGACTTGGGTTTCCCTCATGTATGAAGTGGTTTGTGACATGCTGAGCAATAAACCATTCTCTCCTAGCCACATAGAATGGGGAAAGAACTTGTGGTTCCGGAGACAGATAGACCTGGTTTAGGATCAGGCTCTGTCACTGGCCAAATGCATGTGGTCTCGCCCAGTTCTGTCATCTGAGTTTCAGGTTCCTTATTTCCAAAACAGAGACAACATGGAGCGTCATTCTCAGGCTCAGTGAGAGGAACTGATGTGATAATGGCTGTTCACTGCTGGGCAGGGAATTCATCATTTCTTGATGTACCTTGTCAAGGAGTTGTGTTCTCTATATGTATGATGGCAAATGACCCTATTTTCCAGGCTGCATGCAACCTAAACTTAGTCCTTAGATGTGCACTGAGTTGTTTTCATTGCACATTGCAAACAAAGGCTCCTGACCAAACCACTAGAGACCCAGGGAGTGATTTTTAAAAGTTGGTGACTGAGCACTTATAATTTGACCAAAAAGAAGTACATAGAGGCAGGTTTGTTAGAAGTCAGTATTTCCAGTAAATAGTTTTATCATTTACTACTGCCAACTTGGCTTTGGCAAAAAAAAAAAAAAAAAAAAAAAAGGTGTTAGTTCTATTCCTGGGGCTGAAGATTCAGCAATGTCCAGGGATTATTCACTAATTATATAATTCAGATAGGATACATAATTTGATGGATACAATTGACAACTCTAATCATTAGAATGCTAAATTAATGAGAAAGTATCCATACACTATTTGGTGTTAGTTCATTTCTATATATATATATATATTTTTTTTTTTTGAGAGGTTTTGCTATAGGGTGCATGCACTCGCCAGAAAGACAGAGAGAGACAGAGAGACAGAAAGTGAAAAATCACTCCCAAGGGGGATGGCCACACCGCAATCCCTTCTTCTCCATTTTCCTCTCGAGATCTTGGGCACACATGCACACATGCCCAGTGTGAGTTTAAGCCACCAGGTCTGGGACTTGAACCACAGTCGACTACATGGGAGTCCAGCGACATAGCCATTACACCACCTGCTGGCCCCATCATTTCAAAATTTTTTGAAAATCAAATATTTTTAAATATTTTATGAGATTATCGATTTTTTAAATAGTCATTTCTTTCACTTTGTTGGAATCAGCCCCAATTGAAACTGCTCAAATATGAAATAAGTGTTCTATTAAAATTATGAAACGCTAATTGAGTTGGTAAAGTAAGTATAATATACTCAGACCCTGCAAAACTAGCTTTCTTAGTCTTTTATAATTTGAATAATCATATTCATTATTATACCACGCTATCCCAATATCATGATAGAATTTGCCCAGTAATTCAAAACATAATGAAACCAAATTACATTTGTACATTCCAAATTCAGCAAAGCAAGAGGTGATAACTCAGAGCAAAATTAAACTGAAAAATTCTCTAGAAATGCATCTTTGATGTACCCCCATACACTGGGGCCTGGGGACCTGTCTTTTCTTCCATGCCTTCCTATGAGAGGTTATAGATTATGGTGTGCATCAAACTGATTCTCTGAAATTGTTTGAGGCTTCTTCTGTGACTTGTACCTGCTCAATATGTGTGTATAGCACTGTGTTCCCTGAAATTACACCCACTGAAACCACGTCCTCACTTAGCACAGTTCCGTGGCAACTGAGGTAATGGTGGTAAGTTGCCATAGAACCTGCAAAATAAAGACACAATTTTTTTTAAGAGAGATTTTTTTCTATAGGGAACAATGCATTCACTGGAGAGACAGAGACAGAAAACAAGAAATCACCCCACGGGGAGATGGCCATGTCGCAATCCCTTCTCCTCCATTCTCCTCTCGGGATCTTGGGTACGCACGCACATGCACACATGCCCGGCATGAGTTTTAAGTCACTGGGTCCAGGACTCAAACCACAGTCAACTACATGGGAGTCCAGCAACATAACCCTTGCACCACCTGCTGGTCCCAAGGACACATTCTTATATGTTGAAGTGCCAGTTAACACTGCACTGCATGAAACGAGGATTGCCTCTATGTGTGTGGAATTCGTAAAAGTACCTGTGGTTATATAAAGTCAATTTTATCGTATTACTCGTGTGTTATATATTCCAATTTTCTTTGTCTCTTTGTTCTTCCATTTTTCTTTCAGTGGGGTGTGTTAAAAATTTCTAGCAGGGGCCCAGCAGGTGGTGTGGTGGTTAAGGCGCTGGACACTCCCACATGGCCGACCAGGGTTCAAGTCCTGAATCTGGTGGCTTGCTTTCTCACTTCCTCTCTCTCTCACTGTCACCCTGTCTCTCTCTGGTCAAATTAAAAAATGAATGAATGAATAAATA